TTCCAACATATAAACTAATATACACTTTTTTGCGTGTGATGTGGTTATCCACATGTTTAGGGTTAGATTTTATTTTTACAAACAACTTGCTTGTCACATTCAATTTCCACTTTATCATCCTTATTCCATGTTTTGTTTTTTCTTAATTGAGGAAAAGATGTGCGATTTTAATTCCATGTTTTGTTTTGCTGAATTGAGAAAAAGACATGCATCTGCATTCATGAGACAAAATCCTGCTTAAAAGGAAGGTTTTTAAATGATTCCACTATGACGTTTTTTTATATAGTATTGAACAGTACTGTATATTGCAATAAACAAAATTTTAACTATTTTTTTCTTTTTTTAATCTTGCCCATCACATACCTTCTAAAGCAGGATAGCGAAGGTATATTTGTATTGACTATTGAACTTAAATACAAACACTAGAATTAGGCAAATTCAAGTTGGTTTGATATGGATTTTGAAAAGTCAAAAACTGCTTTTAAATTTAGCCCCTGTTTGTTCTGCAATTTCAACCAACTAGTAGAAAATTTCTGACCGTTTTATTCAAACTAATGGGCCCCATCATCACACAAAACGGTCAAAAATGTCGGCTACGCTCACTGTGCAACGGTCACAATTTTCATACAAATTAGTAAAAAATGCGGAACACACGGACTGTTACTTGGATATTTTCTGAGAGTATTTTGTCTAATTGAAGGATTTTTACAGAAAGTTGATACAAATTAACTGTATAAGAAGATCTTTTACAAAAAAAAACAAAAACCGAAGATACCCCAAATATGCCCGAAGTCGGTCTTTGAGTTGCATAAATACTTAATCATTTGCATTCATTAAACACATGCATGCTATCTTTTTACCAAGAAAAACTCATTTCGGGACATGGTTGCCAAATATCAAATATCTTATCAAAGCTACATCACCTATAGGGAAGAAAATATGGTGTAAAAGAAGGGTTCTTTTGAGGGGGAGAAAACAAGGATTTATATTTTATAGGAATTAATTACATTTAACAAACAACTGATGCATCTTGTACAGAGTGATATTCAAATGCCAACTGTTTCTTGTATTTGATCAGCTACGCTATGACTTAATACTTCTCTCGTCCGTGCACTTCTATGTTGAAGGCGCTGGTGTAGTTTCTCCGACATCTGGTCGAAGAATGCTGCATCCCATCTACATATTAATAAGGGATCTTGAGCGTAACAGAGATAAATAGACGTCACTGCACTTTCCACAACTACAGTTGCTAGCCCAACCTGCAAACAGAAAACTCATTCGAAGGCAGCAGTAATCAGTCATCCTTTTGGAACACAAAAGATAAATAATGTAATGAATAAACATAGCCTAACGTGCTGTAAGTCGACTTATAAGGGCACTCTTCTTCCTAGCGGAGTTAGCTTCCCAAACCTCTAGGCCAAGTCAAAAGCACTTATACTGGAGAATGGGATTAATTTGTAGTTTTTTGGTCACTACCAGCTTCTTTTAGTGTGTTGGAAGATAGGGAATGGAAATGAGGTAACATTGACAATTCATAGAAATATTCAGATAAAGTTTGAAGGCATCTACAGGCTGCCCTCAGGCGCCATTTGAATATTTCTCGAGATTCTATTCAGGCAGTGGCACAGTTTACTAAATGAAAAACGGTGTCCAGATACCAATAAAGTGGTATTGCATACCGACAGCCCCAGTCTATTTCGGTAATCATGTAGCATACTTCGAAAGAGACGAATTGGGGTTGGGGCGGGGCTGTGGGGGCTTCAGTATCATATGCTTACCAAGATCATACCCATCAAAATGGCGGTAGATCCCACCATCACCAGTCTGTTACGACATTTAATCCAAGACCAAACACCTGCACAAGTTCCAGCAATCAGCCCTCCCAAGAGGGTGCTCATCAATAAAATCGCCCCTGAACAGTCATATGCTACAAGTGCTTCCACTCCTGTTGATTGGAACAACTCCCAGGCATCTTTTGCCGAGTTATTATAGCTTTTTCCGTTGACTGCAATCTGGATAGATAAAGCAATACTGTGTCACACATATTGACAGTTACAGTAATAATCATAGTAAAAAGACAAGATTAATCAGTAGCTCACAAAATATTAAGAAATTCCACCACCAGGAACCAAAAAACAAAAAAAACCTTATTACCAATTTTAAGAAGCGTCAAAAGACAAATTTGTACTTGCAAATTTGGTCTTCCACATAGCAAGCACCACGAATAAACATTAAAAATAAAGAGCATATTTCGTAGCTCATAAATTTTGTTATTCCAAGGAAGAATGAAGAAGGAAAATGAACACTACATATAGAAAAAATACCTGGACATAAGCAAACTTATTGAACCAACGAACTAAAAACTCGACTAGATGAAACAGAAAATCAACACAACAGAGCAAACACTCGTTATTGCCAATCATTGACCTCAATCCCCTAATCTGTAAAATAAGTACGAGCCAGTTATTAACCATAAGATTTCTCGGTCATATACAAAAAACGTGTGGACATTAAGTCATTATGTACTGACAAAAATATTATTAGTAGAGCAATCCAACCAATTAACATTGGATTGCTTACCTCCCACCGTAATGTTCGTATTGCAGCTGTAAAGAGTGATCCATAGCATATGCTGCCAAAAGAAGTTGTGACAGCATACCGCAATGAATGCATCAGTGGTTTGGGAGGCATTGATGATTCTTCTCGACCACCATGGATAAGAACTAGAAACATCAGTCCTGAAACTATAACGTGGACAACATTACAAAGAACTGCACCAGTCCAAAACAAACTAAAAGACAATACCTGCACATACAAATGCACAATTTTCTTATATTGCCAGATGAGTAATGTTACAGAATCCACATTGCGACTCTGCCTAAAGAAAATGAAATAAGATTAATAACTTGCCAGCTCACCACAAGAAGCCACCATTGCGCACCATATCCAATACCTGACACCAAAACACCAGCAATACCAAAGGACCACAATGCTAACCAAAAGAGCATGATGAGCATTGATATGCTTGCTGATCTCAAGACCTCTGGAAGATCCCACGCCATCTTCACTGCTCTTTGTAGCACCAGAAGGGTAAATGGAAGTCTACGGAATGAGAAAAGGTCAAAGAAAATTGAAACCAGTGCACAAAACGTTTGTTTGTGTATGTGTATGTGGGAGACAATTTTTTTAAATGTAACATCGACAATTACTTTACAATTTCCTCAATCCATTCCATGATAAGATAACTGATTTCCTAAAATTATCAGTTTCCTCTACAATCTAAAAAGACAGGAAATTTTTACGTCTCTGATCAACTGGTCATAGTTCCTTCTATTCTAAAGCCAATCAAAATGAAATTCAAATTCAAATCTTCCTAGTTAAATCATGAATTAGAGAAAACCAGGAATACAAGTATAAACTATGAAGCCGAACAATCTATGCAGAAATACATATGTAAGTAATTTAATCTAGCATAGAAAGTACTCCAACTTCATAGAACTACACAGAATAGTTGCTCTACACAAGGCCCTCAATTCTAACATTCTAAAGCGTGCCATGAAGATAAATATAAGCTCAACTTGAAACACCCACAGAAAGGTCACCATGCAGAAAGGTTAAAATGTTTTACCTGTCAATGACTGATATGACATACAAGAACTGAAATGCAGCAGCAAAACCAAATGCAAAACCCCAGAATAACTGCTTTCCCCAAAAACATAGCACGCTTATAACAGCAAGATAAGTAGACAAGAGGTGCAGCGTGAACTTCATAACTTGATTTGCATGTGTACTAAACCATAACAACCAAGCCAACCCCAGAAGTGTCCCAACTCCTCCAGCGACAGCATACAAAGGCCAGAAATCTTCAGTTAGATCATCCATATTCTTGACAGGAGTAAACCAGCGACTATAAGCATCCAGCCTATTTCTTTTCCTAAAACTATCGAGTCCTGAAACCCCAAGAGCCAAACCTATCACAATTAAATGTGCCAGAAATATCAACATCCAGAACATGTCCCGCCAGTGCCGTGAACCCATTGGTGTGAATTCCTGAGAGAATGGGAGACTACCATCTGTACTACTATGAGTCTCCACAACGTTCTGCAATCAATACAAATCATAATCAGTATGAAAAGCAAAATTTCTGTTCATCTAATTCAGGTTTCCATGTACATTTCATCTGTTATTTGTTTATGAACGCTATAAATTCAATCAGTCACAGTTTCTACCTTATAATTTTACAAAATTTTAATTTGCACCTCAATATTTGAACTTTTCAAGTTGCACACTAGCTTAGCAGAATGGTAGAACCTCATAATCTAAAACTTTTCTTCTATAAATTGTTTCTCTCAGATATAAACTTCAAAAGTATTTCTCAAAGTCACCTCACTCTACCCCCCTCTGAGTTTGGGCACAAAATTGTAATACGGGGATCGATTGAACCAATAAAGCAAGTCAAAGCATCGATTGCATCTAAATTCTTCATGAAAGTATATCTATGTCATTATATTTGTTTACTTATGCACACAAACGGATGAATAGCAAAAGTAATCTAGGAGAATTTTTTTTTTAAAAGGCACATTCCACACACGTTTAAAAATAGAGAATACGAGGAATTGAAGTGAAAGAAATATCTGAAAATTATTTTCCCTCCATTTTTTCCGAACAACTGAAGCTTACAGATTCATGTGATAGCCCGGATTCCTTGGTTGAATTTGAAGATTTTCCAGAGAGCATCTTCCATACTGACCATGACGCCAAATTTCATGACAACAAATAAAAGTTTGAAAGTCAATTTTTCCCCTTTTCTCTGCAATCTTCTCAGTATATATTACAGATCAATTTTCATAGTGTCTATACCCTGTTAACCACACATTAAAGCGTCAATTTTTCTTCACAAATTGGTTTATTCCCAGACTTCTCCTAAAACATAGGGATAAAATGACGGAATTAAGTATTAATCAGTCACATGCTTACTGCAAAAAAAAATTCCCAATACGCAGAGAGAAAAACATGATCAAGTATACGTTACCAGTGGTGTGGGTCCCATGGAGGTGGAGTCATACGACGATGAAGATGAATATGAAGATGAAGAATGGGAGTTGCTCATCGGAGAAGAACTCAAAATGGCATGGATTTGGAAAAAGAATTGAAATTTATACTAAAAGAATGGAGGTGCAATGACGAGTCTAACATTCGGAAAATTTGTGGAAGGAACCGAAATGTAACGGCTATCATCGCTTGAAATTTATTCAAGTACCAGGTATTTGCCACCGTTTAATAATGTTGTCACTAGCCAACATCACGCGCCACTTTCTCAGTTTTCACCCCATAAAATACGAGTAAATTGAGTACATATGAGAGAGAGAGAGAGAGCTGCTTTTACAGATTTCATTTGCAGAAAGCTTTAGAGATGCGCGCGTGTTTATTACAAGCTTAATTATCAAAAAATGGCTTCATAATTTAATGCGCGCGTGTTTATTACAAGCTTAACTGTGGTAGTGGTATGGCCACTGTCATTAACTTTCTTTCTCGTTTCCATCCACCTTAAAATTTGACATTAACAAAAGACTTCCACTTTTGTGTATTTCATTGTTCCAACAATCAATTTTTTAGTGAACACGACGAGAAAAGCCGGCTATATAAAATGCTTCTTGATGAATTGTAGTTAATGTTTATTGTTTTAATAGTTGGCGGCTTTGAGATTATCCGCCGCAAACAAGACCAATAAATGTCTAATGGTTTTTGGCCTCGGTCAACTATAAATGGAGCAAATGATCAACGACAAAAGTTCTCTCAATGATCGTCGATAGTACGTACTTTCGTAAATGACGTGATTAAATAATTTAAATTAATATTGTACGTAGTTTCGAACATATCTCCATTGGAAATTAATATAGTTTGTATTGTCATCTATCATGTTGTTCGCAATCATTGATTGTGATATGATTGTTGATTGGCGATGGAAAAATTGTTGGTATCATCGATTTGAGCTCTTATTTAATGGTAGACATAAATCCACCTCTTAGTCGTCGTTTTGGACTCCCTGTGTTAGGAACATGAACACGATACTTAGTCCATGTTTGGTATTAATTTTAATTTAAGTTAGATTCAACAATTAATTTTAACCACATATTTTATTTTAAAAAAATTATCGAAATCTACTATTATTTTGTCAAATCAAATTCTAAAACATAATATTTTCATTTCTTGGAATAAAATATTAACTTTTTACCATATTTCAAGTAAAATTTTACATTTTCATTAATGCAGATTTCTAAATTCAGAGAGCTTTTGTCCCATTTTACAAGTCTCTCATTAAGTGACATGGGTTTTAATCTCTATGCAAAGTTCATATTTTCGAACATAAATATTGGTTTTATTTCAAGAAATAAAGTTTTCTATTCAATATTGTTTCCATATAAAATAAATTATAAAAGATTTCAAACTCTAATATTTAAATCTTGATATCTCAATCTTCATCACCTTGTTAATTTTTCTCTAATCTTTTAAAAAAATATGACTTGGTCTATAATATTGATAATAAAATTATTTACTGGTTGTTTCTTGCGGATTAAGAAAGAAAGTTTGACAAAGTTCGCAAATCGTTTTCTAACAAATAGCCCTTTTTTTTAACCCACTATGATAAAAAAAAATTGAAATATTTTTTTAAACCCGCTCGTTTGACAAATTAGAAGATTAGGAGCTAGAGTTCTTTCACGAAACTGCACTCCTTGCAGCATATTTGGTTGTGCATAAAAGTTACTTTTTATAAAGTAATTTAATATTTATTTTTTTAAAAATGTAAGCTTTGAAGCAAAAATGTAAATTGTCGATAGAACATTTTTGATATGTACCTAAAATCAGTTGTTTGAAAACAAAAAATAAACCAGTAGATTTGACACAAATAGCACTACAATGGTGTAGTTATGATCTAGAAGTTTTCAATCTAACACTAAAATTGTCAAGTTAGGATGATAAAAAGTGTCATTCTAAAACAGAAATGAGGGGGAAGATTATGTTCGGATAAGAGATTGACTAATATTTAAGATTGATTTACATATTTTAATTTTATTACGGCAACAATCTTATTGAAAGGAAAGATTACACTCGGATAAGAGATTGGCTAACATTTGAGATTTATTTATATATTTTAATTTCATTACGACAATTGACTTTGTCGAAAGGAGTGATTACACTCGGATAAGAGGGTAGCTGACATTTGAGATTTTTTTACACATTTTAATTACATTACAACAACTGTCTCATTGAAAGGAATAATTACACTAGGACAAGAGATTGGCCAACACTTGAGATTTATCTATATATTTTAATTTCCTTGCGACAACAATCTTTATCGTAAGGAAAGATAGGAAAGATTACATTCGGATGAGAGATTGGCTAACATTTGAGATTTGCTTATATATTTTAATTTCATTATGATAACGGTCTTTATCGAAAGGAAAGTTTACATTCAGATAAGAGATTGGCTAATATTTGAGATATTTATTTTAATTTCATTATGAGAACAATCTTTAACGAAAGGGAAGATAATGTTCGGTTAAGAGATTGGCTAACATTTGAGAATTGTTTACATATATGGCAACTAATAGGATCTCGCGACAAATCAAACCACCCACATTGTACAATAATATATACTAAGAGCATCTCCAATGGTGCTCTAAATTAGATTTAAATTGTGATTTAAATATACAAAGTGATCGAAAAATTCTCCAATTAAGAGATACAAAGGAAATGCAAAGTGCATTTTTCGACAGAAAATGTAAAAAAGATTTAAATTTGCATCTTTTTTAGATCCATAAAAGGCAAAAAGCTTCAAATCCAAATGCACTCATTTTTCTTCAGATTTTTCCATTAGTTAAATTTGGGTTTCAATCCGCTGGGATATAAATGTGAATGTGAAATTGGTCTTAGAGATCTCAATCTTCCACCACCTTTGGAGATGGTCTAAGAATATTTTTCTGAGAATGCTTCGTTATTTGCATGTTTTAAACACGATTATTCTCGTGTCAAGAACATAAACTCATTTCAAAACATGTTGCAATTATCTTTGCAAAGAAAACCTCTTTCATAAACATGTTTCAAAAAATGATCACGCTCTATGTAAATAAAGGTTGACACAACAGTTTATATCTATGTGAATTGACAGATTTTTGTACATTGATCTTGACAACATCTTTTTCAATTAATTGTCAGATTTCTGACACATAGGAGGGTGTGTGTACAATTTGCGTGTACAAATAGTTTAACCCTTCAAAAAACTATCTGAGAGAAGAAAATCAGGATTTTTCATTTCCATAGGAATTAATTGTATTTAACAGTTACTAATGCATCATGTACAAAGTGCTATTCAAACACCGACTGTTTCTTGTATTTGATCATCTATTCTATGTCGTAATACTTCTCTCGTGCGCGCACTTCTATGTTGAAGCCGCTGGTGTAGTTTCTCCGACATCTGGTTGAAGAATGCTGCATCCCACCTATGTATTATTGAGGGGTCTTGTGCGTAACAGAGATAAATAGACGTTACTGCACTTTCCACAACTACAGTAACCAACCCAACCTGCAGGCAGCATCAATCGGTTAATACAAAAAAGGGTTTGGGACGGAGCTTTATAGGCAGCTTCCCAAAATATTTGACAGTACTGGAGAACAGCATTAATCAGTGGTTTAATGGACATGACCAGCTCATTTGGAATTGCAGTGGCATGACGCACCAAAATTCAGCATTGTTCATCAAAGGCAAGACTCAAATGACCAACTTGGAAATTCCTCAACTCTTTTGGCAATTGTACAGCATAAATTTAGCGCTGATCAGTTAAGAGATACTACGTACCTCAACAGGAACAGGAGGTGGAGGAGATGAGGTCATGCATAACAGGGAAGAGAATTATGGGAAGAGAGGAGAGGAGAAGAGAAGATAGGAGGATAATCTAAAGATAATCAATTTACGATAGTAATGTATAACCTCATTTTATATCAATATCATACGCTTACCAAGATCATCCCCATTAACATGGCAGTAGATCCCATCATTACTACTCTGTCAGAATATTTGAAACAAGACCATACACCTGCACAAGTTCCGGCAATCAGCCCACCCAAGAGGGTGCACATCAATAGAACAGCACCTGTACAGTCATATGCTACAAGTACTTCAACACCTGTTGATTGGAACAACTCCCAGGCATCTTTTGCTGAGTTATTAAAGCTTTTTCCATAAACTGCAATCTGGATAGATAAAGCAATACCGTGTCACATATATTGACAGTTATGCTAATAATCTAAGTAATAATACATAAGATAAATCAGATTTTCCAGAAGTTAACGTATTGGAAGTAACTCCAATTTCTTGCACACAAAGTATCTGAATACCACCACCATTAACAACTTATTACCAATGTAAACTGATATATTTGCATCTTTTGTCTTCCATAAGCACCTCGCGTTTACAATAAACAAAACTTTTTGGGTATATTTCCCCTTGGGAAAATTCTTGGTGGCTCACCAAGCTTTTTATCTTTACTTATCTCAAGGAAAATAGCTTTAACTGATGTACGTTCCAAACACCAACAGGTTCAAATCAAGCATTTGGACCATTTAAAAATCAGTAAACAAAATTTAGAGCACCAGCTTAAGTCAGCATAATCAGTTTGTGAATTTTCAATCTCTCTTTCTTTGCTTTCCCATCAGAATGATCTACGCAAAAATAAATCAAGGCTTTCAAAAATGAGAGAAATAACAACCACGAACAACTTTCCAAAGAGGTGGGGAAAGTCAAAATCCTGTTATTTAAATCCGATCAAGGCTCTTCAACAATATACGACCTATAACTCATTTCACATCATATTTAACTCAATATTAATCATAAAAATGCATTAAAAACTATACTTCTATAGGAGACATTGATGACGGACACTTGTAAACAAGAACCAGGAGTACAAAAGAAGGGAAAAGAGAAAGATAAGAAGAGAAAGATGAGAAGAATAGAAGAGAGAGAGAGGAGCAACTTAGGGGGAGATATATTTATTGATTCAATAATCAAAGTCTAATTATTATAATGAAAACCCACTATATACTAAAAATGCCAAACAAAATTATGGAAAATATTTAACAATAATTGAAGGAAAATCAATCTATATAGTAAAATAACTCATATATTAATATAAAGCAAGTCTTACATAAATAGTCTTCAAATAATATCTCAAGGATCTCCATCAGACTTACTTCCCAATCAATCACAATCCAAGCAAGCTATGTCATAAAGTACATATCTCGTATCTCATAAATGTCCTAATAGTAATACTATGGAAGATTGAAGAAGGAAAATGAATACTGTACATATAGAAAAAAATACCTGGACATAAGCAAACTTATTGAACCAACGAACTAAAAACTCTACTAGATGAAACAGAAAATCAACACAACAGAGCAAACACTCGTTGTTGCCGATCTTCGACCTCAATCCTCTAATCTGTAAAATGAGTACAATCCAATTTGTCAGTCATACAGAGAACAAAAATGTGGACTTGAAGTAATTATTCACTAACAAATATATTATTCTTAGGCAATCCAACCAATTAACTTTGGATTGCTTACCTCCCACCGTAGTGTTCTTATAGCAGCTGTAAAGAGTGATCCATAGCATATGCTGCCAAAAGAAGTTGTGACAGCATACCGCAAGGAATTCATCAGTGATTTTGGAGGTATTGTTGACGCTTCTCGACCACCATGGATAAGAACTAGAAACACCATTCCTGAAACTATAACATGGACAACATTACAAATAACTGCACCAGTCCAAAACAAACTCACAGACAGTACCTGTACATATAAGCAACACCATAAGAGATGAATAGTATTACAGAATCCACACCTATGCGTAAAGAAAATGAAATAAGATCAATAACTTGCCAGCTCACCATGAGGAGACAGTAACCAGCCTCTCCAATATTTAGAGCAACAACACCAGCAACCCCAAAGGACCATAATGCTAACCAGAAAAGCATTACAAGCATAAATATGCACACTGTTCTCATGACCTCGGGAAGATCCCACACCATCTTCACTGCTCTTTGTAGCACCAGCATGGTAAATGGAAGTCTATGGAATGACGAAAGGTCAGATAAAATTGAAACCAATGCAATAACCATTTTTTTGCGTGTGTCAATGGCAAATGGAGAGAAACAAAGACAGAGTAGCATGATGGAATGAGAAAAGATCTCAAATATACAAGTCATAGGAATTATTCATGGAGAAATGTGACAGTAATAGAAAAAACATCATTTAGAATGATAAGTACATAACCATAATAAATCTTTTAAGACCCAACCTTTTCAGTTTTCAATAACAAACGTTTTCCCAAAATAATGGCAAAATTATCCATATCCTCTACAATCTAACAAGACTGGAAATTTTTGAGTCTCTGATCACACAGATCGTAGCCCCTTTTATTCTATCTAAAGCCAATGAAAATGAAGCTTTAATTCAAATCTTTCTAGTTAAATCATGAGTAGAGAATACCAGGAATACAAGTATAAACTACAGAGCCAAACAATATGTGAAGAAATCTATATGTAACTATGTAAGGCATTTCTTTAAGCATATATAGTACTCCAAATTAATATAACACTGAATAGTTATTCTACATGAAGCCGGGCCTCAATTCAAAATTTGTGAAACATGGCACGACAATAACTCTAAACTGAACCCCAAACATACACATCAAGGTCACAACGGTTTACCTGTCAATTACAGCTATAACATATAGGAACTGAAATGCAGCAGCAATTCCAAATGCAAACCCCCAGAATAACTGCTTTCCCCAAAAACATAGCACGCTGATGACAGCAAGATAAGTAGCCAAGAGGTGCACCGAAAACTTCATAACTTGACTTGCATGTGCACCAAAACATAACAACCAAGTCCACCCCAGAAATGTTCCAACTCCACCAGCAACAGCATAGAATGGCCAGAAATCTTCAGTTCGGCCATCCACATCCTCGAGAGTAGCAAATGCGTATACGTAAATATTTAGCCTGTCCTTTTTCCTAAACCTATTGAGTCCAAAAACCCCAAGAACCAAACCTATTATAATCAAATGTGCCAGAAATATCAACATCCAGAACACGTCCCGCCATTGACGTGAGCCCATTGGTGTGAGTTCCTGAGAAAATGGGTGACTACCATCTATACTTCTATGACTCCCCACAGAGTTCTGCAATCAATACACAGCATAATCAATATGAAAAACAAATTTTTTGTTCATCTAATTCAGTTTTCCATGTCCATTTCATCTATTTTTCGTTTATGCAGCATGCTATAAATTCGAGCAATCACAGATTCTACCTTATAATTTTACTAAGGGTCCGTTTGATAGTAAGAATAGAAAATTGGTGGAAAGAAAACGAATTCCAGGGAAAGTAATTGCCTAGAACTTGTTTTCCAAGGAATTGTTAATTAAGTGTGTTTGATTGGTATAATTTTTCGCCTGATCCGTTTGACTTTTTTTTCCTGAAAATTGTCAATTAAAGGGATAAAATTTCTTACAATTGGGGATAGAATTTGTTTAGATTGCCAAAAAATAAAAATTTAAAAAAAATTTGTGTTCGTTTGGCTTTATTTTTCATGAAAATTATCAATTAAAGGGATACTTTCTTTTATAATTGGGGGTAAAATTTATTTCCATTACCAAAAAAAAAATAAAAAAAAGATGGAATATTGTTTACCACCAAAACCAAAGGAATAGAAATTCCTTAAAATCAAGGAAAAGTCGGTCACGTGAGCAAAACCAAAGTAATTACAAGTAAAAAAAAAGCTTATCAAACAAGACAAAATGTTGGAATTGAAAAAAAGTTCCCATTTTCCATGAAAAAAGCAACGTATAAAACATGCCCTAAGTGATATGTACATTATTTTCCGTAATTCAGTACATACTTTAAATAACAAGCAAGAAAATCAAATATAACTTTATTAGGCCTCCACTTTGTGTGTGGACAACCAACATTAGGGGAGCCTAAGCCTTGAATAAGACCCGGGTCGTTTGAGTCAAGTTGCAAGGGGATTGTAAAATGGAAGGAGCTCAAATTGGTGCTTTAAACATCAAATGACACCTTGAATCAAGTTCTAAAGTTTAACATGAACGATATCTTGAATTTGGGGGACTATTATTATGTGTCCATTTTATGTGGGTCTTATTCACTTCCTTTGTTCCACATAGGGGACACACGGA